GTTCAGCCCAAAACGCTTCGAGCTGTTCTCCTTCAAGTCCTTCTGCCATGGCTTCCTGTTCCCCAGGAAGGCTTCGGCATCATCATCGTCGGCTTCCTCAGTGGCCCACAATGCAGAGTTCATCTTTGCTTTGTCACGTTTTGCTAAGTCTGCATCAGACCACTGTTCTCTCAAGGCCTTCCCAACTGTGGCGGTGTTGAACTTGCCCTTGATGGAGCCAAGGATGTTGGACTTCTCGCTGGGATCTAATCCACTGCGGTGTAACAGCAGAAAACCAGCTAGAAATTCAGGAATGAAGATCTCTTCACTCACATCCCATGTCGTTGGGGGCTCATACTCAGCGGAATGCCAAGATTTTGCCGACCAGCCATCACTTGAACCTGCCCAATTCCAGGTCCACACTGTGCCATGCCATTCGGGTTCTTCCCCATCCGGAGTTTCCTCCTGGGTGGTCTCAACCTGCACCTCCTCCGTCTCGCCTCTTGAACCCGTGTGTACGGATTCCCGACCCCAGTCACTCCACGTTGGTCGATGTCCCTCCGAGCTGCTGGACTTGGTGGGTTCCCCAAACTCCTTTTGAACCCGACGAAGCGCCGCTGAAGCCTCCCACAGCGCCTCAGTGTGCCTGGCGATCCACTCGGTCATGCTCTCGCCACGGGACCTATTGAGGTTGTAGAAAAACTTGAGCACATGCCTACTGGCGTCCACCAGACTGGGCTTCGCCAACTGCTCTTCAAGGAACTCCAACAGCTGGTACACGCCCCTAGGATGGGACAACCATTGTGGATTCTTCAGGGTCTGCGATCTCGTGATCACCTTGGCCACACCTGTCAACGACTGGAGGAGCCGTGGACCACAGAGGTACCTCTTGTGATATTCTATGGTCATGGCATACTGGATGGCCTTCTCCTTGTAGCTAGGAAGGGTCTCTGGCGTGCCATCATAGCTAGGAACATTCTCTCGACTCATCTTCTATGCACCCTTCGCCAACTGGCTCAGATGCACACCCAACTTCACCTGGATCAAACCGAGCCTGCACCTCTTCGTCGAACTCAAAGTGCAACCAGGCTCTTCGCTACCATGAAATTGCGATGGCAGCAACGAACCCTATCTTTCACCTGCCTAGGGGCGTCTCGGTCCTAAAGACAAAGTGGAGTAGGGTAAAATGCTGTGCGTTTTGCATATATATATATACATCATCTCATTGTCGTTTCAGGCCGGGGGTAATAGCGTACGTGCCGAGTAGAACGCGAACACGATCGGCAATCTTTGGTGACAGAATATGCCGATCCTATGGCGCACACACAGTCAGGATCGAAGTGCGTCCGATGTGAAAGCCTCATACCACTCGCAAGATTGGGTGAACAAATTGCCCAAGGTCAAGCACGTAAGAGGTCTGACCATCCTGAAGTTCCAGGTCACAAGTGAAGTTCACGGAAGGCCAAAAGTAAAGTCTCAAGTGCAGGTTCTAGCCTATGCAATGGCTGGTGATCTTGTTTTACGTGCAGCTGATCATGCTGCATATCCTGAAGTCACCACAGAGAGCTTCATTGGGCACAGCTCTATGGCCTCCTGTGGCCCCCTGACACCTAGAGGCAATGTGTGACTCCAAGGTGCACACACACTCGAGATAAAGCGTACTGAACTGAATGCCACATACCACACGGCAACCTAGGTACAACCATATTCCTGAGAAAGACATCCTGGAGGTTTCATCAAAGAAAGAGAGATGCCCAAGCCTCAAAGTTGTCGACGATCGCGATGCGACAGGATGACGACGACCGTGCACATCTGCAGAATGCATTAGCCCTTTAATGGAAGATTGGAGTAACAGCTTGAGAACATCGCGCCAAAGCAGGTAGGTCACGGTGATCAGCCGTGATATCCTAGTGAACTGCATGGAGCTTGATTGGCGACAGCCATGCAGCGACTCTGTCGCGCCTTGCTTGTGACTCCATGGGTTTCACACGCACACACACTGGAGAAATTGCGCGCGGAACTGATCGCCCCAAGCCCTGAAGAAACCTCAGATGACTGCGGGGCGACGACGAGTGCAGTAGCCCTGTAATGTGCATCTGCCGACCTCTGAAACCTCACCAGCCTGAGCTTTTGATTACTCAACGCCGCAAACAGTTGCAGGTACGTCGACATGACGTCTCCCGTCGATATCGCAAGCAAGAGATAGGTGTCTTCGTTGGCGCCTGCCCTATCTCTGCTCCAGGCGCCCCTGCTCATGAGTAAACTGTAAACAAATCAACGGATTCCCTGTGGCGCAAGTGCATGCAAGAAGGACAGATGAAAAGACATGAAGGGAAGACGTGAGAAAGGTGTAAAATGTATATCCTTGCAACGAAAAGAGAACCAAACGAACGGGAACAACCAGTGAGCCACACCTCTTTATCAATGCCTTGGGCACCCACCACCTGGTTTAAACCTAAGCGTGCACATGCACACTAATTGACAGAACGGGATGAACTGCCCGGAGATGAAAGTGGAAACGACATGAAAGGAAAGAGGAAAAGACAGTGTGCGAAGGCAAACTGAAAGGGAAAACAAGATGAAGCGGGACAAAAAGGATCAAACCAAACCTCAAAAGACCTGGGGAAACCGCGCCTCGTTTGTGATGTTATATGCGTAGTGTGTGCATTTAAGAGTGGGACTCGGATCCAATGATCCCTGTGGACGTACGCTCGTTGCGACCACCTTCCACCGTGTCGTAGCTTACTGGGGCTACTCCATGAGTCCCAGGTTGCGCCGCAAGGCTCCTACGCTCGCTGTGAGACAAACCTCTGTTCGACAGGGTCACGAACACACTCTTGGGGCTCACTGCTGGTCGCGCGACGCACTCAAGATGATCAAAGTACGACCGAAAACTTCATGCCACTCGGAAGCCTGTGTGCAAATTGCCCAAAGTCAAGCACGTAAGAGGTCTGACCGTCTGACCGTCCTGAAGTTCCAGGTCACAAGTGAAGTTCACGGAAGGCAAAAAGTAAAGTCTCAACTGCAGGTTCTAGCCTATGCAATGGCTGGTGATTTTGTTGTAGTCACACCCGGGACCAGAATGAAATGATCGTTAGCACTCGAGCAGGTACGCGCAGCTTATCGGGCTGCATATCCTGAAGTCACCACAGAGAGCTTCGTTGGGCGTATCTTTATGGACCTCCTGTGCCCCCCTGCAGTGATTTTTTCAAAAACCTAGAGGTAACGTGTGACTCCAAGGTGTGCGCGCACACCAGGAGGTTTTATTTGGTGCAACGGTGTCTTGAACGAGGCTTTGTTGTGTGGTCGGGGGTTGCGTTTTACTTTGCAATGTGTTTGCATTCTGGCTGCGAGCTGTCGTGAAACGCCCTGTTGAAACTTCGTTTTCCACTTCGTGCATGGTTTTGTTGCGACTTGCCCGTGTTCCTCCCTTGCTTGATCTTGGGTGGTCACGCCGGTTCTCAATTCTTTCTTAAGATGCGTCCGCCCTTTGCGTCACTGCTGGTGTCCGCCCTTTTCTGCTGGCCATGTAGCATTTCTATTCATTTGTTTTGCAGGTCTGTCGCTGCTGGTGTCCGCCCTTTTCCGTTAGCCATGTAGCATTTCTATGCGTATGTCTCCCAGGTCTGTCACTGCTGGTGTCCGCCCTTTTCCGCTGGCCATGTGGCATTTCTATTCATTTGTCTCCCAGGTCTGTCGCTGCTGGTGTCCGCCCCTTTCCGCTGGCCATGTAGCATTTCTATGCGTATGTCTCCCAGGTCTGTTGCTGGTGGTGTCCGCCCTTTTCCGCTGGCCATGTAGCATTTCTATTCATTTGTCTCCCAGGTCTGTCACTGCTGGTGTCCGCGCCATGTAGCATTTCAGTTCATTTGTTTTGAAAAAAAGTGATTTCTTGACTTTTGTCTCCCAGGTTCGGTGGTGCTGGCCATGCAGCATTTCTACTCATTTATCTCCCATGTGATTTGTTTACTTTTGTTTCCCAGGTTCGGCGCCCACACTGCTGGCATCCGCCCTTTTCCCCCTTCCAGCATTTCTATTCGTGTCTCTCCCAGGTGATTTTTGTATTTCCGCTTTTTTATCCCTTCTGTTTCTTTTGTCTTCCTTTTTGTCACCCTTCTTGTTGGTCATTGTGTCCGTCTTGTCTCCCTTCTGTTATCTTTTGTCTCCCTTCTTGTCTCCCTTCTTGTTGGTCATTGTGTCCGCCTTGTCCCTTCTGTCTGCCCTTGTCTCCGGTCTTGTCTCCCTTGTTGTTGGTCACTGTGTCCGTCTTGTCTGCCATCTGTTTCCTTTTGTCTCCCTTCTTGTTGGTCACTGTGTCCGCCTTGTCTTCCTTCTTGTCAACTGTGTCCGTCTTGTCTCCCTCCTGTTTCCTTTTGTCTCCCTTCTAGTCTCCCTTGTTGTCCCCCTTGTGGGTCATTGTGTCCGTCTTGTCTATCTTCCGTTTCCTTTTGTTTCCCTTCTTGTCTCCCTTCTTGTTGGTGATTGTGCCCGTCTTATCTCCCTTTGTCTCCGGTCTTGTTTCCCTTCTTGGTGGTCATTGTGTCTGTCTTGTCTCCCTTCTGTTTCCTGTTGTCTCCCTTCTTGTCTCCGTTCTTGTTGGCCATTGTGTCCGTCTTGTCTCCCTTCTGTTTTCTTTTTTCTCCCTTCTTGTCTCTCTTCTTGTTGATGTCTCAAAAAGTGGACTTGGGAATGCTTCGTTGTTGTCCCACCTGTTTGGGGTCTACGGTGGTGTAATTTTTAAAGCTTGAAGGCCCACAAGGAAATCAGGCCAAAGTTCCGAAACTTATGGCCGTATCTCCCTGCATCCGATCATCCGTGTGCAACGACGCGCACCCGATGGTGTCAGTGTGCTAGAGGCACCAACTCTTCCTAAGAACCAGCTGCGTGCTTGTTGGTGTGCTGATGTAGTAACCTGTAGTAGTTTCTAGTTCTGGTGTTCTATATTGTTCTTTTGTCAATGGCACGATGCATCATCCATCGAGTTGCCATGTTTGCTTTACAAGTTCGTGACCACCCGACAGGTTTTGCCATATTGTCCGCCAAAGGAGTCGAAACTTTCCGACTCTTACAGAAACAGCATACCGTGCCTCTCTCTCCCCTCTTGTTTGTGAAAACCCCTCAAAGCCCAACTGTGCAGGAGATTCATGTGTCAGCGGAAAATCTCGGCGAAATCCTGATGGGAGACTCCATTGAGAATTCTCTCTACGATGTCAGGACTTGCGCTCCGGTTGTGGTGAGACCAGAACTCTTTGGATTACAGCAGTATTGTCGTTTTTTGTCGAGTCTTGACCTCTCCGGTGACTGTTCAGCAGGATGAAAGCCAACGTTTCATGCGCATTGTTGTGCGATCGGACACTGGGTGAAGAGGAGCCACAGAGGGTGTAGTGTAGCGGTCCGTGAAATCCTGAGAGCTCGCGCAAGGAAAAGGCTGTGTTCAAAAGGATGATTGACCATGAATATCAGGCTCTTGATGACATGCCATCAACAGTCAGTGTGTTTAGCTTTGAACTGTGCAACTGCAGCACCTGCAATCCTTTTTTCCTTTTTACTTTTTTGCATAGGTGAATTGGCTGGTTGACAATTTGCCTGCAGCATCCTCCTTGGGGCTTGCTAGTTTGGACGAGTTAGCATCAATTCTGACTTGTATACTGCCATTCAATGAGATGATAGCCTCTTTATGGCAAGCTAGCCCGTTTGTAGTTGACGAGACAGAGGTTTGCTGCTGTTTGCAAAGGCCATGAAGTATCAGAAGACAAGCACTGGTGCCATGTCGTGCGACTCTGTAGTTTGTTCTTTGACTTACGGTTTTGAGGGAAACATGTTGCAGGTACACAAATGGCTTTCCTGTTGGGCTCAAAATCGATGGAAGGCCAGACAAAACGATCTTGAACTTATATAGACCCCTGACACTTGCGGACGTTCTGCAAATCTCTCATGGCAGTTACTTTGTGCATAATCACATCCAGATTGGGCCACAGCCTCGGGAAGGGGCCAAAACATCAGTTGTGCAGTGGCCCGCCAGCTCTGGGTCTCAAATACTTTGGGTCTTCAAGCCTTTGAATTCGCTGAGGCTTTACTATCACTCAAATGCAGAAGAGTTTGAGGGAAGCCGAGTTGTGGGCTTCGAGGCGACTGACTCAAGAATTTTGACGAGGAAGCAGTGACTTGTGGGGCACGCTGGGCTTGGTGTAGGTGTATCCTTTGAGCATCTTGCAGCAGAGGCTGGACTTTTAGGTAAATTTTGGCCGTAGCTGGGAAAAGAACATGAGAAGAAAGACACAATATAAGACTTAGGTTTGCATAAGAAGACACAGCAGGGAACATATCAGAAGTCTTTATTACCTAAGGATGGCATCATCGTCTGTATTGTTTGACCTTGCCCTCCTGCTGCTTTTGCTTGCTGGCCTTTCAACGGGGCTTTTACTGGTAATTGAAAGAATCAAGTTGCCCTATGTGCAAGTTTCTTTACCAACAAACTCTTATTTTACTTTGTTTGTGTGTCCAATTGTTTGGGTTCGCATTGATCCTTTTTGCTTGGCCACGATTTCAATGTTTTCGCTAGTGTTTCTGTAGGATTTTGGCATTTTCTGTCAGTTGCAATTTACATGAACCATGCTTGTGTTCAGCTCCGACGGATCACTGCAATGCGGCGACATGGATGACCCAGTCCCTCGCTTTGCGGGAAACTTAGCACTTCTCTTTTAACGTGAGCTCGAACAAGTTGCTAGTCACAAGTGCATCGCTACTAGTCACAAGTGCATCGCTACTAGTCACAAG